AAGAAATTATTTTTGATTTATTGCTTATTACTATATATTTTAATCCTTTTTATTTATTTTTTAGCTAAGCAGCGATTATTTTGTTTTAATTCTTATTTGTATTTTGTTTAGTCATAGGTATTTTATATATATTTTCTTCAGTTCGGTTTTGTATATTTTATTAGTTTCATAAGTTTTTTATTTATGTATTTAATGTAACTATTTTTATTTAATTTCGTTCTTCTAGCCAGAAGTATTTATTTAGTACTGTAACCTTTTGTTATTCTTAGGGGAATTTCCAACGAAGACGTTCCAGAGTACAGTTAGTTTTCTATTTCTATTTCTGTTTTCTTAGAGTCATATGTATTCCCCAGGACTACCCTTTACGTTTTTAACATCCCCTTTATACTTATATACCTTATTGTTTCAACACCATTCAATATCACAGGTTTCACAATGTTCATCAACAGTGTCGTGGTGCCTTTCTAAATGCTTTTCGTTTCAAATCTTAATTTATATAATATCTCATTCTTGATCCTCATTGTAACTTACCCATTCCTCCAAATATTTAAATTGTTTAACTATCTTCATTTTCCCAGTTTTATTTCCACTGTTTTAAGATAATATAAAGACTTTTACTTTTACACCTATAAAATGTTTGGGATAAAAGCGAAAAATATTCAAATTTATTTTCGTTTACTATGTAAATATTTATGAAAAAATTAAATATTTAATTATTTTCAAATGGTTATATTACGTCAGATAGAAGGTTTAGATGGATTAATTTATATGGAATGGGAATCAATATTCACTCATTTGGCACACTTGTTGATTTCATTTAAATGTAAAAGGGAGTATATTACTGGATCCATAAATAATATACCTGCTATATTTAATGGAAAGCTAAAATAGGATACATGGAGTAGATAATATGAGTGTAAAAGTGATCATTAAATAAATGGAATGAAATCTCTCATGCAGTAGCATCTTCTAACAACATATTTATGAGTATTCCAAGTTATTAGGTAATACAAGCTAAAATATAAAACTAATATAGCACAGCGTTCGTGGTTGCCATAGTTTTAGCTTTAGAAATTTTACCAGAATCAACAACTTAAGTCAGTCGTAGACTATTTTCTAATTGTTCGAATTTTCTGAGAACATAATAATGCTACACTTTTAATAAAATTGTTATTTAATTACTTATTTTAGGGAATTGTTGATTATTCTATTTATAATTAATTTACTTACTGAAAAGAGTAGCTTTTTTTTTTTCAGTTTTTAAAAGTCGAATCAACATTTCGAAGCTTCACACCATCATCAGGATCTTGTTATATTTTTTTTCTGACAGAGTAACTTGATTTTACGTTTTATCAAATATGCCAAAAATTGTGAGATAGTTAATTAAATAATTCAAATATTCCTCGAGATGTAAAAATAAAAATGAAACTTTAACCACAAAATGACAAAATGGGGTTGATGAATTACTAGTAATGTTAAACATAATCATCTACTCCCATAATCTATCCGCAAGCTCCTTGTATTTTCTCTTATTTTCCTTGTGTCTTGTAAACTTCGATAAATAGGACATAAGATTATGTGTACCGAGATACATATAAAAAACTTATTTTTTTAATTAATATGTTTATTGAAATTTACAAATGTAAAAAAAAATAGTATTTATAGTGTTACTCTTATGTTTCTAATATATCTGATTTTTAATCATTCTATAATATTTTAACACTCCATCGATAGGTGTTTGACACAGTTCATCCATATTTTTTTAGGGAAGATTGAAACTGTTTTAACCTTTGATACAGTACCGATACATTCGTGATATATCGGCATGTTATTTTTTGCTTCAATCACAACAACGGCCGCTTTCCATCCAAACAGAACGAGGAATCGATTGCAAAGGTCAGAGGACTGGATTTCGCTGGATATTAATTACAACTGTGATGAACAGGTTCCTATGGCAGGTAATTACTTAGCATGCATTGCGGCAAACGGATGGATCATGTCTGTGTCAGTTATTTGTTTGAATGAGTATGTCTTTAAATATTTATTATTGGATTCATTAGTCAAAGTTCAGACATATTCAAGAAAAAATTATAACTGTGAAGAAATGATGCACATATGTGAACAGCTTAACTAAAAATAAAAAATAAATAACGGAACGACATTAATACTATAAAAAAAAATGTGTAAGTTGCCTCCAGTAGACTGGCGGGCGTTTTATACCTAGGGGTCCTACCTAGTCTCAGGCAATGTGGCTTCCCTTGGTGGTCGATCATCCAAATCTGGGAGGTCACCCATCCAAGAACTAACAACGCTCGACATCGCTTAACTTTAATTATCTATTGCAAGCACCTTAGTCCGCAAGGCTACCCAAGCCCCAAAACTCAATATAATTTATACAAAAGTATACTGGATATAAAAGATTCACCAATTTCGGTTGCAAAGTAATCCGCAGTCACATTTTTAGAAGTTAATACTAAGAAATAGAGAAATGACTAAAAATGATATTTGTTTCATAATCACATCTATATAAAAAAAAAAAAAACAACACATGAAGGGTCTTAGGCTCAGTACTATTTAGGGAAAGCACTGTTTCTAGGTCAATGGATGTGCAAGGACATGATTTGAATGAGATCACGCTCAACCGCCAGGTTTCCCTCCTTAATTAATTATTTAATTTAGGGTACCAACTTAATGGATGCTGGGTGTGCCCCAGAATGATCTCTCAACCCAGGGTCGCCCCACGGCCAATGAAACAGATGAATAAATTTTCTGCCGGGGTTCGAACCTGTTACCTCAGCATTCGAAGCTCAGTACCCTACCACTGAGCTACCCCACTCCCCAATCACATGTATAAGTACAGTAAATAACATAGATGTATTATATACCGTTGAAAAGCTAACGGTATATGAAAAAATAATGTGTAAAAGGATATAGAAAATAACGGAGTGTGACGAAACACCCATAAACTAAAAGGATAGGAAATAATAATAATAAGGCTTATGGTTTTATAATTTCTAGTTTCTGAGTCCCGGGATAAGAGACACTAGCTAAGTAGTTTCTTCACATAAAAATAACAAGCATTTACCGCCTTCAACCTAACCATAATCTCTTCTTCAATTTCGTTTTTTATGCTTATCGTAGTCCCTAGATACCTAAACTTCATTAAATGTTCAAATATATTACCTCCTTTATCGATATTAGGTCAATATTGGCGTTTTTGTATCTAACCATATACTTTGTCTTATCCGTGTTTATTTCGAGTTCTAGTTCTTTACCGGCTTTCATTAACGTTGTCGTATTCAGTTTTATAGTTTCCGTCTAAAGGATAGGAAATAATATGATAAAAAAATTAATGTTTTTGTCCAATTTTGGTTTTATATTTAAATTGGTAATCTACCATCAATGTATTAAAATTGTAAGTAAATTTTTTTTTTATGGTGGAAATTAACTTTCAAGCAAAATAAAAAATATGCAGTGACAATAAAACGTTTTTTAGTAATTTTGATTTCAGATTCTTAAAGTCTACCCATATTCCAACATTCTCAATCAAAGTCAAATATTAATTTGTATCAGAACCAACTTCTTAGATTTTTCTACCATGCTTCTTGTATTATTTTAAATTATGAAGACTGGTATTGGGTAGTTTCTCCACATGTCTGTTCATATGATTATTCCTGCTGTGTACCCATTTCTTGGTTTCATTTACTTAATACAGTTATACATTTCAATAAATAAAAAAATATAAATAATCAAGATTTATGAGCACTATTTCAACAGATAGTCTACATCATTCAATTATTGCAAGTCAATGATTATATAAATGATAGTAATATTAATGATGCTTAATGCATCAAAAAGTAAAACCATAAGCTTAATGGGATTTTACGTACTTCTTGTTTAAACTTAATTTTTTTATTTTAAATCGTTGATTAATATTATATTTTTTAATTTAGCCTGATAAAGGTCAACTGACCGAAATCGGTAGCCCAAAATTAAAATATACTCCAAAGAAACTTCGATATTTTTTCGATGTATTATATATTTCACAGTTAATTAAAATAAACGATAAAATCCTATTATTTTTAATTAAATATCTCGAGAATCATTAATAATTTACAGCATTAAGGGTGTTGTCTGGAAGAATGAACAAATAAATTGAAAATGGCAGAGGAATGTTTTTTAAAGCGGCTGGGAACTAAGAGGGACGGGAGCCTTAATAGGGCCTCTTATTAGCCTCATAAATCTTAAAAATCCTGAAAAAAATTACTTCCATTCCAATGAATATTTCCAAATAAAGAGGCTCCATACATTTCTGCGATTTGTAAGAAAAAGGGTTTTTACTGATTATCTTTGTTGAGCTTTATGTATTGAGTTGTCCGGAAATTAATGCAGCTGTATATTTTTAAAATCATACAAATGAAATGAAACTATATTTATTAATCAAATCCATTACTTTCGTCAATTTTTTTCCAACGGTAAGGTAAAGTTTCCATTGTCTCTGAATAAATATTGTACCTTTATTAATAAATTCTGAAAGTTCATTTTCTTACGATAATTTTTATCGACAATATTTTTATCTTATAATAAGTTGCCCAGATGACAAAAAAAAAAAAAAAATGATAGTAGGTTGGGAAGAAGAATAGAGGGTATGGGAAGTGAGGTTTGTTTCGGTTTCGGCACAGAAGTTTGAGCGCAGATTTCATAACGAATTTTTTTTGGATGTAGATTAATGCACGAGGAACACAAGATTTAAGCATTTTTTCTCGCCAGTTGAGTTGAGATGGTCTACGAAGTTCATTTTGCTTACTGAGAGTTTCTCTGAAAATTTTAATTTTTATCTTGAAAAATTTATTGAGATTAAATATTTTTTTTAAAAAGAAATATACAGTTTGAAATCAGCCACTTTGTTTTGAATTGTGGATTGGATCTACTACATCTTATTTAAACTCAACCTTAAGTATATATATATATATATATTTTTTCTTTCTAATTATTCCTACCTTTATCGGATATACAGCCATGACGAAGCCGAAGGCCTTTGACAACGGCAGAACGTAAGATTTCAACGAGAGGTGGAGGTGCGGGTGGAAGAAGAGGAGGGCCTTGGAGTTTGCGGCCAAGGCGTTCATCAGCTGCTTCGAGTGCCTCCAGCTCAGGGGTACCAGGATCACAGCAACTAAAACAAATGGTATAATAAACGGTGCAACAAATGAGATAACTGATGTCGTAATAAAATATTCCAAATTTTACCATCACCTAACGCATCATTTAAATCCCCTAGTGTATTGGCTAAAGCAAAGCGGTCTCGATCGATCTCCAATGACTTAATATCAGTGACGGGGCTGAGAGAGCAGAGCAGGGATCTCCTGGAGTCCGGCTTTTCCCCCTATAGTTGGTTGGGAAAGCATGCCATTCCCTCGTCTGATTATAAATAGTGTATGTTGTTATGGTGGGGAGGGAAGAGAGGGCCGAGCGGACTAACGCGTGTCCACAGCACCACCGATGTCCGGAAATCTGATATATGGGATTTAACACAAATAAGTTAGGGGTTGGCTTCACGGTGGAGGGGGAAGGGGGCGAGAGTTTTAACTTTGACATTAATCCCCGGCCCTTCCCCCTGAGCCGGGGAAGCTCCGTAAAGCCTATAAGGCGAGGAAGGAGAACAAAAAAAAAAAAGATATACATATAGGTATGTCTGTGTGTATTTTTAAACAATTTTCTTATATTTGTGTTATTTTATTATTATTTATTGTATGTACTTTTTAATTATTATTTCATTATTATTGTTCTTGTATTTTCTATATACTTATTGTGAATGTAATCTTACTTCACTATATGTGAATTTTTCCATTTTCCATGTGACCGAATGTTCTATTATACAATAAATAAATAAGAAATCATAATAGCTGCCATTATTTTATTTTTATTATAGCTCTAACTATTTTTTATTTCAACTCATAAATAAAAGGTCGAAAGACATTGAAGAAAACAAAAATTTAAATAACTTTCTACATGCCCAAAATATTTGACGGATAAGTAAAATGAGATATATCTAACGGATAAAATAAGTTCTTTTTTAATTGTCTTCCAATCATAGAATTTCAAATGTTATCCATTATACCTGAAAATTAAAAAAAAAAAACTATTCACACATTTTTGGAATTAGGAGAGGTATGATGACGCTAGGACCACATTTTTTTAATTGAGCAAAACTCTATGAAAGATTTCTAAGAAAAGAAATGGTTTGTAAATGTTTACTTTTAATATTGGTATAGGTGTGACTGTTTTTATGTTTTTAATTTACTTGTTTTTAGGTTATTTTATTTTTTTATTGAATATAGTTTTTATTTATTATTATTTAGATATTATTTTACTTTTGTTGATTTTTTTTTTGTATATACGGTGTGAATGTGTTCATTTATCAATATAATTATTGTCCCTGTGACAGAATATTATATGTCTAAATAAATAAATTAAAAAAAAAATATTGGTATAATTTTATTATGCTTTTTTTATATGAGATTTTACATTTTATTTTATAAGTTAGTATGTCTTCTATAAATTGCTTTATGTTCGTAATTGTGTGATAACGTGCGATGTCTTCATAGTGATGATATGGAACAATAATAATTATTATTTAAGAAACTCTTTTATTTCAAATTCAGTTGCCGAAAACGACTGATTTTCGAGTTTCATAGCCATTATTTTTCATTTTAAAATTCTAATATCACTGGCAGTGACACCGAAACCACTTTAGAGTGAAGAGGAAGGCGAGAGTCTTAAATGCTTTGATCTTATCTTTTGTCTGGAGTTCATTGTTCATCGTCATGATCAGATTCCTCGAGGTGCGAAAGAAGCTATTTAAGATTTCACTAGGTGGTTATCTGCATGAGAATATTGGTTACAAAAGAACCATTTCTTTCTCAACTCTTGTGTTACATTTACTGATACTGGTACATTCCGTAACTGTTCCAGGATTATAACGATTTATTTGAGAATATTGAGTTATATACAGTTATTGTACTAGTTCATCTAGAAGAGTGTGGCCAGAATTATTACGGATAAGGTTAGTTATTTCAAGGTTATAACTAAGTTCAACTTATAATTAAGTTAAACATATGAAAAGATACTATCACACCGTTGCTGTCGAGAAGAGGCGCCTATAAAAATATATGAGGACATTGTCATGTGTTCAACTCGAAGAAGATATGTACGTAACTCACATTCAAACCGTGAGACCTTCAAATGTTACAGCGTTGCAAAACTGAAATTATCAATGCTTTCCTATTTCATCATAAAAAGCAATTTCAACGATAAAAGATCACTTACATTTTAAAACCAACAGGTGATAAAAATAAATTACCTCGTACATTCCTACAAAAATATCATTAAAAAATAAATTGGACATTTATACCACAAAAACCTGAAACGACAAGAAATCGCTCGATGTTTCCAAATACTAGTTCGTGAAACAGAGCCCTTTTTATCGAATTAGTAACACCCGGCTGAAACTTCGTAAATGACATCATCTAATCCTAACCTACAAATATTTTATTTACGAAAATTCTCGGAATCGGGCCGTTTTCAATCTGAAGGTCGGACAACTTTGTCTATTTAATTAGGTACAAAAAACTCGTAAATATCTATTTGCTTTCCACTTCAATGGTAAGATATCTTTAGTATAAATTCGAGAAAAATTTTTGCCTTCAGAAATATTGAGCCGTTTGTCTGATATATCCTCGTTATTTTGGAAATTTGGGGGTGTATATCACGCTTCAATACTTTTGAAGGCCACCTTTTTTCTCGACTTTTTACTTAAGTTATCTTATGATTAAAGTGGAAAGCAAATGGGCATTTACGATTTTTTATTACGTAATTAAATAGACAAAGTTTGCCGACCTCAAGATTGAAAACGCCCCAATTCTGAGAATTTTCATAAATTAAATATTTTTAGGTTACAATGAGATGAAACTATTTACGAAGCATTAGCCGGATGTTAGTAAATTGATGACAAAGGGTCTTTTACACGGATTATACTCCAGCACTTACTTGAAAAAGTTTCTAAGCTTTCAATTAATTACAACATACTCATATATATATATATATATATATATATATATATATATATATGAATATAATAAGGTCTGTTTGGACTTATGGAATTTATTTTTGGGTCTCCACTAAGCTATCGGCAATCCAATATCCTTCTTAAAATCCACAATGCTGCTTATTTTGTCACAAATAAAATCATCTATAACGACTTTAATGTACCATTTCCGAGATGGCACAATACAGATACCTATCCTTCCATAACAAATTTCAGAATCATCTGAACCCTCTAGTTTCAAACCTTGCATCCACCTCAATCCCTAATAGCCCTCCAAGGCGTCTAAAAAGAAGATGGCCTCGTGATCTCCTTATGTAGATATATTATCAGAGTGCTACCAGTGAATAGTTTCTCCACAAACCTTTTCATGCCATTCACATTTACTTCATGTGTTTTTAATTTAATATAGTTGTAAATATCATGGATAAATAAATTATAAAAGATAAAATAAACATTTATGCAGAACATATAGAGTTATTTATGCTGTACTACTTCCATTCAGCATAGTTAAGGAGAAAGGTTTCTTGGCTCTTGACAACGCCTTAAATCCTGATTACATTCTACCCTCTCGTAAAACAAAATACTAAGACTTATGATAGTCTTATATGAACAATTTATTAATGTGAGGAAAAACAACAATGAATGTGTATATATTTATATGTATATGTTGTAATTGTACAATTAAATCATTGGAGGGTGAAAAAAAAATGTAAGAGAAAGTTGTAAACAATTGATTGTTGCACTTCTCCACAAAATAAATTCTTTCTCGGTGTAGCTAGATATTTTCTGGGTGAATACAAAATAAAAAGCAAATAATCGTCTCACAAATATTATTGATGATTTGGCGGAATAATTGAAAAAAAAATAATCGACTTGTAGGACAGAAGAAATAAAATCGAGCTCTGATGACTATTAGACAGACATCGGTTCAACTACTAAATCATAATAAATTGGGTAAACCAAAAATATTATGATGGATCGCACTATTGCCTATCCTCTAACATCTCAATTTTTGATCACACGTAGTAATGACCTGCACTGTGTTTGAAGGACTTATGAACACGCTACGGAGGAAAAAGAGATTGGTGGTTATGATAGAAGGTATTTCTCCATCCTCATGAAATAAGAGAACTACCCGTACTTCGAAGGGTTAGTGCACGGGCACCTTGGAGCCAATAGGCAATGAGAGGAGGCATCTATAGTGCACAAAGCTCCTGAAGGTGTGGACTTCTGTTGAGTTTTTATTGAAGACTAAAGTCTAAATGGCAGGGGTAACGTAATTGATATATCATTTATTACGCTACCTTCCCCAAAACCCATATTATCCTAAGACCAGAAAGAGTGTAAATAAAAAGGTAACGAGGTGGGAGATAGGGCCTACGGATTCGATATCTTTCCCAAAGTATCCTTAGCTGGAAAACATCCAGTAATTATAAGAAATAACGAAATCATATAATTCGAGAGGACCCATTTCTCTTCTGTGTGTGACCCGTAAAGTACTCAAGGTAGTCACTTTTTGGTTTCAAATTTCTTCCGTATCATCATGGACATTCGTTTCTATGTTCTGGGATTCTGTTCGTCATTTGAAGATCGTGAACAGGCATCATAATCTTTCTTGCTCAAAGTATGATTTAATGCACCTCCTCGAAGAAGATATAATGTATAAATATTGTTCCTTCTAAACCTCTACCATCTAATGAAATAAGGATCCTAGTTAGCCGCTGCATAGATTTTCTTTTTAGACCGTCGACAATCTGCTTGTTGTGCGGAGTTAGGTTAGATTTATGTATTGACTAGATATCTGGGTATCTAAGATCCCAGAATGCGCCAATAATCATACAATACTTTTGGATATGATTAATGCAGAATTAATAAATATGTTTATAAAGTGTACATTTTTGTACGTTTCCTGTTTTTCTGGAAACTGGATATGATTGGAAGAATTCATTTATAGCCAGAACGACTTTGATTTATCATAAATATATTATTGATTTATGGAAAAGGGACATGTTTGAAATTAAAGCTTGAATAATTTTTAATTGTTGTTATACTTGTGTTGTTATAGTTATGCTAAAGTAAGAAAGTTTATGAAAGATCTTAACTTTAAGTGAAGTATTTCCTATTTTTATTTACAGATTAGAAACATAGAGCCCAGAAGTTCTTTATAATAATTTAATAATTAAACAACATTCGTTAGCAACTAGTACTCATTACTAAATGGACTTACCTTAACACCACTGTCATTACTACAAAATGGAGAGGGGATCCTGCAGATCGAAGGAGTAACAAAAGGACTGCTACGGATCCACAGACAGTGGGGGAAGATTAAAGCGTATACATTGTCAGGAATTCCGAGAACGAATGTACTTTATCAGGGCAGATGTCTTTATTCTTTGAAATAAGCCATCTGCTGGGGAAGAATACGAAACAACTCTAAATAGTCCATAGAGGGGTGGAGTTTGCAATATAGTAGGGAAGGGGAGGGGACATATTGTAACTTTATATTTTTTTAAGCCACTTTATATTTAAGAAGAAAATTAACACTTACAGTAAAAATATTATATATATCTTTTTTATTTATAACAAAGGGGACTTTTCAATCACCTTTTAGTGCAAATACAGTTAACCTCTTATGGTAAATTTGAAGTTGCAATATTTGAAATTATATAACAATTAAATTATAAAGAATTTCCAATGAGAAATATGAAATAGATTTAGATAAAATACATTAAAAATTTACTTAACAAAAAGCACAAAATATTAATAGGTTACAAAACAATATGCAAAAAATTATAGATTTAAGTTTCTCTGATGCAAGATACTCACCTAAAGTAAAAAATTGGAGTACTAAAAGCCATTTTTACGGAAGCGATCACTTCCCAATTATAATTGAAACATGGAGAAACAGTATTATTATGCCATCGAACACCAGATGGAAATATGAAAAAGCAAATTGGGAAGGTTATAAAAAATCGATTATCCAAGGCTTACGAACCATACCATATGGACAGAATTTAGAAGAGAAAATATTTTATTTTAACGAGTTAATTATTAACACAGCAAAAGAAACTATTCCTACAGTCAAAAATAATATGAAACCTCATGATGTACCGTGGTGGAATCACAATTGCAATGAAGCTATAAGAGCAAAGAAACGAGCCCTAAATCGATACAGAAGAAGTAGAACTGTTGAAAATGCAATCGAGTTCAAGAGACTGCGATCTATTGCAAACAGAATAATCAAATAAAGCAAGAGAGCATCGTGGAAACAATATGTTTCTTCCATAAACTACCTTAGCCCGACGAATGAGATATGGAACAAGATCAAGGCCATCAGAGGAATTAGGAAGCAAAACTTAATTTCAGGACTTAATATTGACGAACAGATCATAACGGATCCACAGGACATTGCTGAAGCCTTTGGAAAATATTTCAGAGAAATATCTTCCTCAAGCTGTAGCGATGACGCGATAAATGATCATGAAATGCATCAAAATTGCATTTCTGGGCAGAGCCACTCTGATGAATACAATAGACCATTTCGACTAGATGAACTAAATTCTTCGCTTAATAAGAGCAAAGGAAAATCAGCTCCTGGTCTCGATAAAATTCGAGGAGAGTTCATAAAGCAGCTACCAGAAGCAGGGAAAATATATTTTTTAAATATATATAACGAAATTTGGACAAGCAGAACATTTCCAACTAAGTGGAGGAAATCTGTCATAGTACCGATACCAAAAAAAGAAAAGAGCACCGTTCCCCAGGACTATCGGCCCATTTCCCTTATCTCATGCGTTTCCAAAATTCAAGAAAGGATGGTCAATATAAGATTGACTAGTATGCTGGAATGTAAGAATGTCCTTTATCCATACCAATTTGGCTTTAGGCCAAATCGTTCAACTATTGATTCTCTTTTATCATTAAGCTTAGAAGCGCAGGAAGCTTTTTCACACGGAGAACACTTAATATCAATATTTCTGGACCTTGAAAAAGCTTATGACACAATGGAAAGAGGACGTGTGTTGAAGATTTTGGAAGAACTAGGAATAGGAGGAAATATGTGGTATTACATTAAAAATTTTCTAACCGGTAGGGAATTTTCAGTAAGGGTAGGAAATACTTTCTCGTCAAACCATCGCTTACAAAGGGGTACCCCACAAGGATCTCCTCTTAGTTCGACCCTATTCCTTCTTGCGATTAATAGTATAGGGTCCATTATCAAGACCCCGACCAAATGTTTCCTATTTGCCGATGATATTGTTATCACAGCCAAAAGCAAATCTATTCCCTATATACAGTGGAGGCTGCAAGAAGTGATGGATAGAGTAAAAGATTGGACAAGGGAAACTGGATTTAAGATATCATCTTCGAAGTCTAAATGTTTACACATTTGTAGAAGTCGAAAGTGTCAGCAGAATAATCCACAAATATTTATAGAAGGTTCCTCAATTGAATATACAGAAAGTCACAAGTATCTAGGAATGATAGTTGATAAGAGACTGAATTGGATACAACATATTACATATTTGAGGGAAGAATGCACAAAAAAACTCGGAATTCTTAAATGTCTCTCACACTCTAGCTGGGGTGCCGATAGATGCACTCTAATAAAAATATACCAGTCTATAATACGCAGCAAAATAGACTATGGAGCGCAGATATATAGTACAACCAACAAAACAATATTGAGGATGTTAGATTCTATACACAATTCAGCCCTAAGAATATGCACTGGAGCGTTTCGAACTTCTCCAATCGACAGCATCTATGTTGAATCTGGAGAAACATCCTTAAACTTGAGACGAGAATACCTATCTCTGAAATAAATTGCCAAATTGAAAGCATCTTCCTACCACCCATTAACTCCATATTTATTTTCAGAAGAATCAGAAAGAAACGGACTTAGAAATATAGAAAATAACATTTTTAAACAAGCAATTTACAATGCAACAATTAAAATAAACATGGATACGACCATTATAAGACCCATCCCAGAATTAAAAATGCCGCGTTGGAAAAAAGATAGACCATTTATTAATAAATCTATGACTAAAATTGCAAAGGCATATCCGCTTGAAATACAAAAATATTTTTTAAAGCTAACGGAACAATATAAAAATTTCGATTGTATATATACGGATGCATCCAAAGAAGGAGGTAGCGTAGGATGTGCTTTAGCGAGTAAAGAGAAACAATTACTGTTTAAATTACCTGGAGAATGTTCAGTATTCACAGGAGAGGCCACTGCCATCATGAATGCTTTATATCTTATAAGCGAAACTGAAAAGAACTACTGGGTAATTGTGACGGACTCATACAGCGTTTTAACTGCCATTGACAATCCATATCCTAAAAACTCCATAATTAGGGAAATACTCAATATCTGGTGGGATCTAAAAAATAAAGGAATAACAGTTGTATTGGTATGGGTACCAGCTCATTGCGGAATTTTAGGAAATGAAAATGCTGACAATGCAGCCCATTTAGCAAGAAGTGGAGGAGAAGAAGAGGAAGTGACTAGAGTGAAATATATCACTTTAGAAGACTGGGTACACGAAATAAAGAAAAAACAACTGGCAGAGTGGGAAAAAGAGTGGAGGATCAAAGAGTGTAAGCTGAAAGAAGTGAAACCCAATTGCGATAAATGGCTCAATAGCAACAGAAAGTTTAGGCGTGAAGAAATTATACTATGCCGCCCAAGGATTGGGCACTGCCAGTTCACTCATAGCTTTTTTTTTTTTTTTTTTTTTTTTTTTTTTTTTTTTTTTTTTTTTTTTTTTTTTTTTTTTTTTTTTTTTTTTTTTTTTTTGTTCTTCCCTACCTCGCCTTTTAGGCTATACGGGATTTTCCCGGGCCGGGGGGTGAGGGCGGGGAATTTAAAATCCCCTCCGGCACCGGGACGCGAACTCGTACTTTTTATATCATCTCAAACTTCTGTTATCCGGTTGCCAGGCAACTAGCGGTGCTGTGCACACGCTTTAGCCTATTCGGCCACCCCGCCCCCCAGTTCACTCATAGCTATCTTTTAAGAGGTCTTGAAGCTCCTACTTGCGAAAAATGTAACAATACACCGCAAACTGTGAAACACCTTCTAGTAGAATGTTCCCAATTCGAAAGGCTCAGAGAAAAAATAGAACTAGGAAAAACAATAAAAGAAATACTAAAAGACAATGAAGAAAGAGTCTCGTTAGTGTTAAATTTTTTAAAAATTGTAAACTACTATAACAGAGTATAAACCATAGAAAACGCCAATGACCCTTTAGGGTAGAGGCGAGAAAAAGGAAAAAAAAATATATGCAAAAAAATAAAGTAATTTTCGAAAAATAAAATTTTTTTTGTCATCATCATATCATTTTTCAAGACTGTTTTAACATCATTTTCTAACTCAAATCAATTCCAATAATCTTTGTGAATACAAAACTCTGTCAAGATGTGTCACACCGTTAAATGACCGTATGTGTTACATTGAGGAGAGAGAAAGAGGTGAACGCTCTTCCCAAAATGGCTTTCCCTGGTGGACGGTCACCCATCCAAGTACTAACCGGGCTCTACGTTGCTTAAGTTTGATTACCTTTTGCAAGCCCCGTAGTCTGTACGGCTACCCGCCCCCATATGCGATATATAGATATATACAGTGACAACGGGGTGGGGTAAAAAAAGGAACGATGCTTCTTGAATGAAAATTTCGTAAGCTAGAAACACAATTTTAAGCTAAAAAATATAATACGTTCTTGTAAATTAGGCTCTGGCATTCCATGATATAACCGTGTCTTTTCTTCGTAAGGTAGATCCATCCCCATATCTTTTGTTTAACAATAATTGTCTTCACATTATTCATTCAGAAAAAAAGCGAGACCTATTGCGTTTTTATTATTATAACTGAATCTTCAATGAGAAACAAAGAAATAAAAAAATGATTCATTTAAACATATTTAGAAATAAATAATCTAAACGTATTGACTTATACTAACCCTTAGACTGTATCTGTATACTATCCGGAGGTGGACCAAACAGTGTGATGTGTTGCTTTACACTGACGTTAGATCTCAATAGACTGTTCTCTAGAGCCAGGCTTAAGTAGCCCCATGCACCCCATCCTGTAAAAGTAATATTTACAGCTACTAGAGGATATATATATATTACATACTTATATATTATATATATATATATATTTACAACTTTTCCTTAATCGACCTTTGAGTATTTGACTAATTGAGTATATACACTAATTTTGTATTAATCACTAAATCATTTTTAGGTTATGTAAATATTAAAAAACAAAAGACTTATACCTGTTTACAAGTAATAAAATATTTCTTAGCCTCTCCGTTTCACTCTATCATTCCTAAAAAAAAAGTATTTTGTATGGTTGTGCTGAGATGATTTGGCAAGAATCAAGCTTAATTTTCCGCCTGATTTTCTCCCAATTGACGGTACTTATACCCTTTTAAGGCACTAAGCGTGCCAAACTATAGAAAATAAATGTGCTCTAGGAGGGTTTCCTGATCCTAGTGTCGATTCTAGGTTGATGTATAAGAGAACAAATAATCTGCCACAGCCGTAATCGAACCATGACCCTATAGAAACATAGTGCCTTACTCATTGACATCCTATACTCCTTTCAAATTTATTTTATTCATACTCTTATATGTTTCTTTAAGAATGTATTATTAAATGGTGTGGATGAAAATCACAATAACACAGAGCTGGAACTAAAACTATTACATTTATTGTGGAATTTTAGTAGTATTAATTTGGGAAAAAATAAAATAAAAACCGATCATCGCCCATCCTGTTTAAATATATAAAGAAACTGATACTGTTTTTATTAGGATTCAAGTTAGCATAATTTAGATTCAACAATTAAAATTATTAATTTTTCTGAAAAGTCAGTAATCAATTAATTAATTTTCTATTTCTAGCTATGTACTAATTAGATTAAAATAACCTGCAATGAAATAATTATACGGACTAATCCATTCAAGTGGTTAAGTAAAATTCAATAGAAGGTGCCGAGTTATATCTTCATCATTAATTTTATTTCATTGAGTTTTATTGCATCATTCAGTTCGGTTTATGGCTATAATTTAGTGGATGGTTGTTCCGATAATATATTAAAGAAATTATTATTATTTTTTTAAATCTTATTTTATTGAGAAATATTACATTTTGCCTCCATTAAGGGCATTTAGTATTAAAGGTGTTAGACGCATCTATACCGAATATACAATAAAAAAAAAAACTAGAAAAAGAAAACCTAATAAAACAAAAGAAATGTAACTTGAGAAAACATTAAATAAAAAGATAAAAACACATTCATACTTATAAGAAATTATAACGCCATTTTTTTTAAAACAATATATGTTATCAGTAAATTTCTATTTAAGTAAATCGATTTCATAAACTGAAAAAAAGTTTTTTTATTTTTATATTTAATGTTTCATTCATAACTAATCACATACACACGATAGTTTTGTCCAATATATATATATATATCTTATTATCTTATAATTTTTTTCACATTAAATGCTTACTCACTTAATGACACGATGGATGCAGAACGATACCTCAAATGCTTGACTACATTAACTATTGCAGAAATCACAGTGGCCATTTTGGGCTGGACTCTATGCACATTGTCGCTAAACTCGCTTACTATCTGAAACAGATAATTTGATTAATGTTAAAATATTTATTGTAACATTATGATTATATAATTGATATAATTAAATCCTTGATCTACCAGACTGCAGTAAACGAAAAATCGGTATTTTTCAAATTATAGATGTGTGTATAATCAATCTATTCAATCCATAATTTTAGACTAATAAAAAATTTTGACTAAAAAGGCGGTGGATGAGAGACCTCATTTACTGACTTAAAAAAGTAAATAAATACCAGGAAGAAATGCATCAAAGTCCTTCTTTATTCCTAAAATACCATTTGCCAAAAATAAAAATAAAAAACATTTCTGCTTATTGTCAAATATATGAAAGGTGCGGATTACGATTTGAAGAAAAAAATCGCCAAAATAAGCGGTTTTCTCCTAACAGAAGTATTTTACTCCAAATATGGTAATATAATTAGTTTCACGCTAATATTGTTGATGGGGAAAAGTTAATTAATTTTTTACATCTTCCTTACTTTTGTATTGATTTATTGCTGTCCAGTATGCAAAATAATTAATATAATTCAAGGCTATTCTCCTCCAATCGTCAAGTCACTTTATTCTATTTTTTTCTAAAAGGAGTCGCAACAAGTGTTTCCCTCTATCGAGGAAGGAAGAGATTTTATAATCAACTGCTTCTGAATTTCCTCTATTTTATTTTTACTTTATTTCTTAAAAAGCTTTTTGCATTTTCTAGACAATAATACTACGGTGTCAACTTTGATCCGATTATTCAACAGCTTTTAATTTACAAAAAATTCACAATTAATCCCAACTTGAGCCTACTCAACGATTCTTCTGAAAATAAAAGAATTCTGATACGACCATTACTTATTTATATATGAAACAAAAGGTTCACACCCTTTTTGAAACGATTTTATGTATTTCAGTGGCTGTCCATAAAAATGTCTAATCAAATTTAATATGTATTTTTTTATTATTATTTATTCATGATATTTACAACTGTATAAAATTATAGATATTTTATTATAATATTTATATTAGACATATATTTTTATAGCAATACAAATAGATATAATGACATGAAAACACTTGTTGAGAAACTACCCACTGGTAGTACTCTAATAATATGTCTACATTAGGAGATCACGGTGCCATCTTCTTTTCAGACGCCTCGGAGGGAAATTTTAAAATACTTTTGATAATTAGATTCCGTTAAAATTTTGAGCGTCTTTAAGAATAGCACATTTTTTTGCGGTCTGGTCAACTTTTTGTAGAGATAAATTTCAACTAATGCTATCTTCCATTATTATTAACTAATGTTTATGGGAATCAAGATGAAGCAAAATAATATTTTTTTTTAGTCAGATTCTGGTCTAGCTGTATAATTAATAAATTAATTAGACCCAACAAATATCTCTACATACGTACTGTGACGCATTATTTTTACACAAATCTATGTGAAGATAAAAAAAATCATAATTATAAAAAACAAATAAAAAATGTAGTTCCTTAAATAGTTTGGCCAGAGTAAAAAGAGGATCAGATCAACGATAAAAGGAGTTGTAAGTCAACCAAAAAGGAAATCAACAATACTCGTTGACGATTTACTAAATGTACCCTTCCATTGACCGACCGATCTAATATTAGCTGCCATACAAATTTTCAAGAAGACGTGAATAGAATTTGTGATCGGACAGAACCCAACTAGTTGAAGTTAAAACCGGAGAAGATGGAAGTATTTGTAATAGGCTGCAATCACTTACTTAATCCAACCATGTACCTAAATGATAGTCTCAACAAATTTTACCCCAACATTTAAAACTTTGGAATAAACTTTGACCTACCCCTTTTCTAGAAAAACCATGCACCCAATATCTTTCACCATACTTTTTCCACCTGAAGACGTCTAAGGTACCTCCAACTTCCCTAATATTACCCCACGATGAATATTTTTGTGCGGTATATAGGGGTATCTCTATGGATCTGTAGGATAAACTATTATTATCCATCTTCGGGACCCCAAGTGATGCCTCTATCTCCTGGTTATATAAAAAGTTGCATTGACTTTCTACCGTCGTATTTTCTGACATCCCTTATTTTTCAAGTCATCCAATCTCGCCGTCCTTCATACGTTTCCTAGCTCCTCCAATTCAAATCCTCTGATCACGCCCGTAATATCAGTTCGACGGCCCATTGGACCGCGGCTTTCGATAGATCTTTCATTATTCGAACCCCGTCTCTAAAAAACTCAATCTCTTCCTGCACTCTACGCTACAGTACACTCCCCTCCTTTAAATCCCGCCTATTCAATCACTTTTATCTATCCAGTTCCCGAAAAATTGTAATTAGATATATCTTCATTTTTGTAATTTATTATTTTAGTAGCTTATAATTTGTTATTTTTTATATTTCTGTATTCTATATTTTTTTCTATTGACATTTGAGGATTTAAATTTCTTTATAATGTCGTTATTTTATTCTAAAGGGACCTGTCCCAGAATAAATAAAGATTATTATTATCATTAATAAATTGTTATAACACAACAGGTATTACTTACAGTCGGACAATCCCAGACCACCAACGGCATGCTGACTATAGTCGCCAGGCGCTCTGTCGTCTGACAGATCTCGGGAGGAAATGATCCAATCAGTGCAGAAGTTCTGTTGAGGAGGATCGTTTCCATGATACCCACTTCTGACCAGTCTAAAAGAGAAGATAATATTGTTATCAGTTAGTTATAAATACAGTCTAATGTTTATCTATAAAATATAAAGGTTTTAACAAAAATCGATTCCATTAGTGTTAGCACATCTAAGAATGATATTAGCACATTTGTGTGAAGAAACCTCTTCTGCAACTAAAATAATTTGTTTTTATTACGGTTCACATCTAACCAATTAGACCATAAGCGGAATCGTACATTCCGTATGTTATAATATTATAACATAAATTATAAATTATAAGCAATGAAGAGTTAATCAATTATATATTTGGTATATTTCTTAGGATTAGCCAATGGTTAAATTTTTAATATAACATAGTGAAAATGTATTTGACTGTAGATTATTATAAGAGTTTTTTTGGGAGGCTGCAGTAATTAGAAGTACACAAAAATAAATGTTTGTGCCGACGTTTCTGCCTTTATCTTGACCAAGCAAAGTCGAAATACTAAGTAAATACTGAGAAAATAAGTAGACTGTATATATGTATTTAGTTAACCTTAACACATACTACTTAATAAATTAATTAATATGGAATGGAAAATATGTGATGTATAAATTTAGGGAGTTATAAAGTTACGGTAACAATGTGATTATATAAACAATAATAAAATAACGGTAATAACATATGAAGTTATAAAATAATGGTAACTAACTTAGGAACTTATAAAATAGTCGTACAAAAAAACTTTGAAAGTTATAAAATAACGATAATGAAGTGACAAAGTAAACAATAATAAAATTACAGTAACAAAATCCTGAAAAACAAAGCAACGCAAAATTATGAGTAATGCAATCAGGTGATGTAATAATAGGGTATATAAAAAAAATGAACGGTTTTTAACCAAATATTTGTATTATTATTTCTTTGATATATAATAAATTAATACTCAAAGTAGAGTTCATTGTCATATACCGTCATTAGCCATCTGCTAGCCAATTTCTCGATCCCACGTTGGTACTATTCTTTGGGATAGCTGTCAAAGAACTCTTGGACCGCAATATCAACTGCCGCCAAATTATTTCCCTTGAAGAAAATGTGCCATGGGTCTAAGGAAGTAGTAATCCAATGAAGCGAGGTCTGGACTATATGGTGGATGAGGCAGGAGTCTAATATCAGAAGAGTTTTTCGATAATTTTTGACAAATTTCTAACCTCTTGGTTCGTGTAAGTTAGTGAGGGACCAGTCTACTGCTCTTTTTTTCATCTTCCCCATGGAGAGTAGATGGTGACTGGCAGAATCTTTCGACACAACACACTCCCTGGCAAGCGAATACTCATGGACGGATTTGACTCAACAGCTTCCTGCAGAGCCTCATCAATATCCATTAATGTTCGCCCGGTGCCCTTTTTCCTTTCCAATGTCTTAACTCCACTGCTATTTTTTTCAAAACAACGCCGCGCAATGCGCTGGTTAAGGACAATTTCCTCTTCATAATCAAGAATTTCACGAGTTGCTTCAGCGGCTGCGAATTTTATTTCTAATAATGCCTTAATGTTACAAGAATTTCGTAGGACACTGGCATGTTTCTTCTGTGAAACAAATAACTTTACTAAGACTTTTTTTTAAGAAGCCAAATGGGATTAAACAAGCTTAGAGAATGCTCTAAAAAGATTATTAGGTATTGGTAAGTATTAAATAGGATTAAAATATTTACAGTCCCTTGAAATCTTCAATTTGATAAAACGGTCATTTCTTTTCATACACCCTATTATGTTCAGAGAAAATGAAATAAACATAGATTAATAATGAAAACCTAAGAAATGGAATACTAAGTTATATAAAGAAGATAATGAAATCTATCGTACGCATAGAAATGAATTGAAATATTAAGTTACATAAATTAACGGAATAAGATCTATGGATATAATGAGTAAATGTAACACTTTAGTAAATATCTGGTAGAGAAATGAAAAAGAGCATAGGGAGAAAGGCAAGTGAGATGAATAAGAAAATTAAATGATAAACAATAGAATAAGTTTTAATTATACAATCGTTAAATTAAATGAATATTTTTAATGGCTTTTTTAATTTAGTTGCATTATGTCTTCATAAACTGCAAGTGTTTCAGTCATACAGGTATATTGAGTTTAGTTCAGGTACCACTGTAAAGTCTGCAAGTTGTTACAATGAGTTTCAGTGTGTGTGATGTTTCATAAAGTGGTGGTTCCAGACCTCTCATTAGGTAGCCGTGGGTGAAGGTTGCAGGTCCAGATCTCAGTCACGTCGAGATTATTAATCCTGATCTGCACTTTCTGATTGAAGTCCATGGTACTATGTCTTGCTTGATTCCTTGTTAATTATTAGTTGATAGATTCCACTCAACTTTACATTACTGACTTGCTGTGATTTTCATCATCATCTCTAATCTAAATCAGCAGTTCGGTAAATCAATCATTGTGATCCCATTTATTTTCATTTTTAAATAAATTATTTTAAATTAAAATGCCTTCGTTTTGAGTCCTCAATACACATTTTTTTAACAGTTTTATTTTTTTACATACGGAATTGCAACATACCACCATCTCTATCATTTTATATCCATCGTCATTAAATTTATCAAACTGTATCTATTTTTATTCATTTGGGATCAAGTTAGTCTTAGAAGCAGGATGTAATATATATCCGCACCTGCCATATTTAGTAACAATCTGCAGATTTGTTGTTGAACTGAATGATTGGCATTATAAGAATGAGGGAAGATAGCACCCAGCAGCTCCTCTTCGTGGTCTTTATTTAGTTCCTTCATTCAGGAAAGGCGGTCTCTCATCTTCCTCCTTTTCGGTCCCGTTTTGATGGGGAATGTCAGTAGGCTATGTTTATTGTTATGCTTGTGTAGTTTTTTCGAGAATCGAGAGTACCATATGTGTTGATCGATAGTTAGTACATAAGCCGGTATGTAAAGTTTTGTTATTTACGTAACAAAGAGCTGCAAAAAAATAAAAAAAATAAAACAGGATAAATTAACTTAATCTTAAATTTGTTTACCCTCCAGGTGGTACCATTACTGTAACTATTTTTAACTTTCTAAACATTAGATTGTATTTGTTAGCTATAGTCTTGTTATGTAAGCCTATGTAGTAGTTGAAAAAAATTGTAATATAGGGCGAAAATGACCCAGGTAGTTGAAGAGCCCAAAACATTTATAAAATAAATAAATAATTGAGACTGGTCACTCTCCTTCATGGAATCTGACATTAATGCCCAATTGAATAAATCCAAATTATGCATCACATTAGTTCTTGTCTAGTAATCGGGTAGTTACTAGATTACTGGGGTAAAATAATTAATTGAGATAATTGGATGAGCCGCTGCTAACTTGTTGAGAGAGAGTAAGTAGGTGGAAGAGGGGTTAATAAATCTTTACCACGCTGTTAAAAAATCACACAATGATATGATTTTACAAATTGAAATTTTAAAAATGTGTTCGAGTAAAAATTTTTTTTGTCTATAAAAATGTATTTCCGCAACAATAAGTTGACAATCAGCAAATGTGCTGGCGATACAGAAAATAATGGCATGGCAGGCATGGGGAAGGAAAGTATTCAGCAGTAACCTCTTCCCTAACTTGTTCCAATTACTTAGGTTGTCTAAGGAAGGAGATCCCTCATCCAACGCCTTTTTAGTTCCTCCTCATGTTCTGAGGTATGTCAGCTGTGGCCATGTCTCTTATTAGTCTGTTATTATGTCAGTTTAAATTAGTGTAAAATCGTTGATAAAGAGTCGTTATATGTTGGTCAACTTTTGGAAGGTGGAGGTCAGTATGTAGAGTTTTGTCAGTCACGTACCAAGGTGCTTTTGTTATGAGTCGCAATAATTTTGATTGGAAGATTTAAAGTTTTTGTAGGTGGGTCTTTTTAGCGATACTGTGTATTTATGATGAGTACGTCCATGTGGGTTTAACTAATTATGTATATGTATTCAGTTTCTGTTATAGTTTTAGTTTTGAAGATTTAGAAAAAATAGAATAAAGTAGTTTGAGTAGTTCGTTAATGTCTCACGTTTCATTTTAACATGCGGGCCCCACGTCATCCTTCTGGAGGTGAGTCCAAGGTAAAGTACCGTGTCCGTTTGTGGAATTTTATTGTTGTCGATATCAACGGGAGGGCATGTTTTTACTGAAGAGTAAATGTTATATGTTTGGATTTGTCATGATTAAGTCTAATTTTTCATAGTATGTACCAATCTTGTAATTTCAGTAAGTGATGCTGTAGAGTTAGTGAGGCATGTGTAGAGTCTTGATGTTTTGTGAGAATTGTATCGCCTGCATAAGTAGCTGTCAAGATCTCATCGTTTATAGGCATATCGTAAATGTATATAACGTAGAGTAGAGGGGCTAGTATTGAACCATGGGGAACTCCTGCCAAGAAAGGAGGGACTGAAGACATTTCCGAGCTCAGCCGAACTGAAAAAAAATCTGTTGAAGATGAAAGATTGAGGGATAAGATAGTAGGTGTATGGCAGTACAGTCATACGTTTAAAGAGAAGATACTGGTGCCATACTCTATCAAACGCCTGAGCAATACCCAAACATACTCCAGTTTCATGTACTTTTTGTTGTAAAACTCAAGCAATGTTGATCCCTCTGGAATTCCATTCCTGCTGATATTCAACACGCTCAATCAGTTTCCTCTTTCAAACCTCTCCTCTTTAAACACCTACTCCTTTCTCAATCCGACTGATTGCGAAATACACTTAAGAGAAATATCTAAGGACCCCCAGAGATTACCTCAATTTATTTAGGTTATTTTATATGTTTCTTATATATATGTACAATTTTCTTGTTCTTTTCTTTCTCTTCTTCAGTATTTTTATTTTTAGTCGACTCATATTGTAAATATATTATATATAATGTAGTTGTTAGATTAGACATACAATTTGTACTTATAATTTGTTCTAAAGGGACAACATTCCCAGAATAATAAAATATTTTTTCATTTCGATGTAGTATGTAGCACTGTGTAATTGATGTGTCGTTTGACT